TCAGTGTCGTATCCGTACACTGATATATGCTTGCGTGGTCATCCTCCATAATCTCTCACTCGTGCACCCTTCCTGCTTTGTTATTGTTTTACCTTATTTCTTAGAATTGTCTTGTCCTACGGTTAATTACTTTCATAAATCCACTATTCGGTATTTTAATGTCTAGGTACCTACTAGGTACCTATGCGTTCTCGTCATCGGTATTCTAAGAATATTGTGATAGCTACTTGTCCTACGCACCTGGGCCCTGAGGTCAATATAGTCATATAGTAATTTAAGGTAAACTCTCTTATTATATTTTAGACGCCAGTCCACAGCATATAAGAAAAAAAATATATTAAATAGTAACAATTTGTTAGTTAGTTTATTTATTATTAAATATAGCCTTTCAAAAATTGTCAGACAGACGCTGTCTCCGTTCATAATAAATAAAATGTTTTTCTTTTTCAATAATTTACTATCATTGAATTCAAATTTAACACATAGATAATTCATTACACTATTACAGTGACCTAAGAAACGTAACTGGGTAAAAAACTAGGGGAAAATCGATATCTCCCTATCACAAAAATTGCAGGGGGAAATGTCCCCCCTCCCCCACTGAGTTACCAACTCAATGCATCGTACAATCATGATGTAGGTACACTCGACACGAATGGCGGACAATTTCCCCCCGGACATTTTCCCCCCGACTGTTTTTGGCGTAGTAGGACATTTCCCCCCCCCCCAATATATATTCGATGTGGACATTTTCCCCCCATTTTTTTTTAAGTTTATTATTTATTATTTAATAAGAAATTATTTTTTTTCAGTAAAATATAATTTTTTTTATAAATATAATCAATTATACTATAATTACCTATTATAGTAGATATATATTTTTGATCAATTCAACTACTTAAAACAATAAAATAATAGTAATATTATATTTAAAAGATTGTCTAAATAAAAAATAATAGTACTAGCATACTGTATTATTCGCTAGTAACATTGAAATCATGTTTGTCATTATGGCGATCTTCACCAATATTTCCTCCTTATTTATGGAATGCACATAATGCTACAAAGAAAAACAGGTAGAACAAATAATATAAGTGAAGGTTTCAATAACAAATTTAAAACTTTGGTTAGAACTCAGCATCCAAATATTTGGATGTTCATTGAAGCACTACAAAAGTCAAATTCAATGGCAATTAATAAACTATTAAAAATTAAAACAGATACGGTTTTTTTAACAAAAAAAAAATAAACATGAAAGACGATTACAAAATATGTGCTTAGATATAAAAAAAGAATCAGAAATTAAATGTTTTTTACAAAATATATCATTTTTATGTCGAAATTTTTAACCTATTTTACTTATATACAATTTTTTTATGTCTTATTATATTTATGAAAAAAAAATGAAATTTTTAACCTATTTTACTTACCTATGTACAATTACTTTACGTTTTTATTATATTTATGAAAAAATGGGGGGAAAATGTCCGCATCGGAACATTTTTCGGGGGGAAAATGTCCTACTACGCCAAAAACAGTCGGGGGGAAAATGTCCGGGGGGAAATTGTCCGGATACCCTCGACACCTGTACAAATATACAGCAGAGAGACTTCTCCGATTTTTTTTAAGTAGGTACCCAAACAATAATGGTATCTGTTTAAGTTGGAACTTTGTGGTACAGTGGTACCTATCTATAATGATTATACACTTTTTATAATTAATCGTATGGAATTTTGATATTCAATGCTCGAAGTTTAAATTCAAATTGTGGTTTAAAAGATCTTTTAACCACTATTATAGGTAGGTAATACCTATATATTATGTATTATTACCTATATTACCTATTATTACCTTATATATTATTACCTACATATTATGTAATATGTAAAATGTTAACAATTATTTTTTTTTTCATTTATATAATTTGAATAAAGACCAATACAAGCCCGTTATAGAAATACAGAATTATGCTCCAATCTAAGAACAAAATCATTTTTTGTAGGCGATGATTTATTATACCTATAGAATTTATAATAATATTAAATTATACAGCAACCTACAACCGGCTATTATTGGTTGAAGCGAGATAAGAACAAATACTCAAAACCCAATCTTTTACTTCTGTTAGAACCTATTTATTTTTTTTTCTTCATAATAAATTGTCATTTCTCACGTAATATATTGACTATTTATTCAGGTGAGAACCAAGTTCTCAGATTCAGTCAAATTAATTCGAATAACGGAGTCGACAAGTAGGTAGGTAGGTAGTACACGTTAGCATAATACTTCGACAAATAATTTTTTATATATTTTACTTTTAAATTAAAGACTGCATAAGGAATACGGACACTAAAAATGATAATCTTATTTATATGGAAATTGTATTCAAATAAACTTTTAAACATTACAATACCTATGTCAATATATATATATATATATATAGATATCTTAATATCCAAATGTAGGGTGCATTTGAATGAAAAATCAACTACCTACTTAACATACCTACCTAATATATTCCAATATATGTATTTACCTACATTTAGTAAATTCATTTTTACTACAAAGATAGGTATAGCCCATAGACACATAAACTGCGAAATGCGCCTCCCTCACCACCCAACCATCACTGAGTGGCGCCAATATAAAGTGAGTGAGAATGAACATATTGGGGGAATCTTGGTGGAATCATATAAGAGAAAGAGGGAAAACACATAATGAGGGAAATCATAGACGTATGGAACTGATACTGTACATCGTACCCCTGACCTCTCTCTCTAAGCGCTGTCCATTAGTTTATAGGTCTATGGTATAGCCTATGTCAGGGGTATTGTATACTGTCTAATAAGGCTATAACCGTCCATGGTCGAAAAATGTTAAGAATCCGCGAAGAGCCAACAAAATATAATTAGCAGAATTTGTTTTTATTTTGCACTCCTGCCTATAGGCTGTAAAAGTGACTTAACAGCCTTTGGAAATTCGTTGGTCCAAACTGGTGTAAATTATCCCACATTATCCTGCACTGGGATAATTAACCATGTCAATGATCGAGCACGGATCCAGAGCACTGGTCTGAGGGAGACCCAAAAACACACATAAATATAATATATTAATTATAGATATTAAATACAGTAGGTATTTACAATCAATGGTAGTAACCAGTAGTAAGCCCTCATAATATGTCTAGGGAGGACTATGGCAACCCCCCCCCCACCCCTTCACAGATCCACCACTGACCACTGCCAATGATATTATATTATTATGGCGCAAACATCCCGGTGCATTTTTTTCACACCTGTTTTGAGCACATTTTTAGTCTGCCTGCTGCCGGCAAAACCTTAGACCCAGAGCTGGCCCCTGAATGGCTGGGTATACATAGGATTGGGAAGGTGTTTAACGGCTTATTATTATAGAACTATTTTAATTTTTGTAGAAAGTACAAACATACCTTCAATATTTTTTAATGATCCGAAATCTCAATAATAAGAAATAACAAATTAATAAAACTGACACATACACTGTCACTGTGTATCTAACAACGTTATGTAGAATGTAAAAGCTACAAACTGTTCAAAATAAGAAGCCACGAGACGGCCAAGGGCAAAATCGGTTTTGCTCCGTAAATCTGGTGGCTTCTTATTTTGGACAGAGTGTGATGCTTATCTGTACAATTATACACTAGCTGTTATATATTTACCTACTTAGCACTTATCCTTACATACAATCGTAGGTAATACTATTCAATTAAATATTTAGTGCCTTGGTGTAGTATCTTACGTATGAATTACGATATAAGAGGATAATGTACTCAGTGTGTAGAGTATATACTATAGAGAATACCTACTTACTCTGTATTATGCAGTCATGTTTAGAAACATCAAAGTCTTACAAACAAAACAAAGTCAATATGCAAATATAGGTATAGGTTCCTACTCCTATTTTACAATTCTAAACCCAATTTATTTAAAACAGAAAACCAGTGATATCAATGCAAAAAAAAGTACAAAAATAAAACTTTATATACAGCTATATCTAGTAAAAACTGTATAAAGTATTAAGCTTTCCAAGGCAAATAAACATTTTTTATTATGTACCTGCTGTTTCTGAAAATGATCAGGAACAAAGTCAGTTTATAAAAAACATACTATCACATACGTTTTGTCACTTCTTTAACACTTACCTTTAGTTTTTCCTGGCTCTTGTGAAACTAGGTCATGGGGAAACTGAAAAAATGAGCTATTCAATGTACACCATCCATATTCAATAACTACTAGATTTCCAATTGTTGAGGAGGAGTAGGGTTGGAAACTCTTTTAAGCTCAAAAAACATGCCTACAGAAAGAAATAAGATAAAATAACCAATAGGTTGTAAAAAAATTTGAAAAAATGCATCCTTTGCTTCATACAATATAATATCGAAAAATAGTATTCCGGAAACCCACCAAACACATACGTAACACTAATTAAATTTTTTCAAATAAAAATGCATAATTTCAGTAATTTATGTTCATATAATGCCCCTCTGTACTATGATTTATTTTTAACGTTATGTGTTGTTCATTTAACCCAATAGAGGTCAGCCAAAACAACTAGGTACTTTAAATGTTCAACTGACTGTCCTATAACAATTTACATGCCTAAATAATATATCGTACAGTATATTGTAATATCTTTACTTTCATTAATCAAACTCAAAAAAGATGACATGAATACAGAATACTACAATCTTCTTCCAAGACACATATAATTATAATTTAATAAATATTTGATAAACATATAAAATATTATTACAACAAGGTAAATTATTTTGTTCATAGAAATAGTTAAATATTGCATTATACTTTTCTTATATCTATTATTACAAAAATACACAAAATAGTCCAAAGACAATAGGTAAACATTTTTCACATAACTCAATTACACAAATTTTTCAACAATAACTTCTTATAAGTTATAATACTTAATGGTAAGAAAAAAAACACAGGAAGGAATAAAATACATTACGCTGTATCATGGACATAGTTGAATTGATCTCCAAATTTGTCTCGAAATTTCCTCTGATCCATACCATCCAAAATTTTAGCAACTTTCTTCACAGATGATCTACAAGTATAATTGTTATATAGTTAAATAGTTATATAATTAACTGTTAAAAAAATACTGCTATATGAGCAGTAACTTTTCCAAAATATTGTACATTAACCAAGATGGACGAAGTAACTGGTTAGAAAAAATAGACAAAACCTGGTATTATATTATATTTTCAATGGCACTCAATGTAAGATATGGAATTACTTATGGTGCTGTTTTTATGATGTGAAAAATGTCCAAAGATAAGATGGAATTTTATAAGTTTTACTATAATAATAATAATAATAATAAATGAAAGCAACAATACACCATAACACTATCTCTCTCCAGACCCGCTTATTTGGCAATCATTTATCGTAATTGTTTGATGTTTATTTCCCAATATTAAATTTTACTTATTTTATATTAAGAGTTATAACCTAACCTTTACGAGTATAACGTCAGATGAAATTGAATAGTGTTAGGAGTAAAAAGTGGACGTCTGCACTCTGCAAAATGATATGTTCAAACAGGGGCGTCATTTCAGTTTTTTTTCCGGGTGTGCAAGATTTTAGGCAGGCCAATTTTAACATTTAACCAGGCCAACTTTAACATTAATATTCAAACAATAACCATGCCGTTTAAAGTATTTAGTATTTATTTTATCAGCTATGCTATGCTTACTCCACTATAGCTGATACCAGCGGGCTGGCACGAACTGTCTTACATAATAAAACCACAGAATAAGACTCGCTTCACGCCTTCACACGGTTATCAAGTAGGGATACATTTGATAATAAAGCTGATAAAAAAAAAAAAAATTAAATTACATGCATGAATCAGTGGCGCCAAAATATATATTTACTTTGAGTATGGTAAGGTAATTATAATAAATAGGTGGGTGTCAAAATTTTATGTGGAGGTGTCTAATGCCATAGTTAAAATGTTGGACTTCAGCGCCACTGGGCCAAGAATATTTTATTAATTTTTAATAGTAATCATATCGGCGCATAGGAACATTAATGGAGGGCCAATTATTTATTCTATTATATCAGTGGTGCCGTCGCACACCCTGCCCACCCCCAAATGACGCCCCTGTGTTCAAAAGACAATTTTTAAGTGTGTTTTAATAAATTAATTGCGGGAAAAAACCAAAATTAAATTTAATTATATCGAAAAAAATATTCTGAAATAATATTAGAAATCAAACAGATTACCGACTCTTATAAATTAATTTTATTGAAATAAATATATATTATGAATATATTAATTATATTTCACATTAGCCATAACAAGAAGGTTAAAGTTACTTTAGCCGGATAAATGATAATGTACACACATAATCTATTCCCTAAAGTTTTTATTCACGGCTAAAGTCTGAAATTGGCTAATGTGCACATTATCCGGATAATGTGCATATTATTATCTAATTTCAGACTTTAGCCATAACATTATACCATATAGTATATTATGCCACTATCGTAAATTTAACACTTCACCACTTTACCCCAATTTCTAACCATTATTGACTTTTATATTTGATAACGAATTATAAATTCACAATAAAATTCAAAATTACTTTTTGAACACTTTTTTTTCCAGCCGGGCACGTGGAGTGTCCTGTTCTTTTTTTAAATTTGTCAGATTTGAACTTTTTTTTCGGTTCTTTCTGCTTCCTTTTTTTGGCATTGTAAGATCGACCCCTGTTTGACGCTACACAAATAAATAATTGTCTCCATTAAAATATCTATACAAAAAATAATTACACAACAAAACACAAAACACTTTCTACCTGTATATCTCTAAGCAGCTGTGGATCTTGCCAATCAGGTACAGTCTGTTTTTTCTCTTTTTCCAAAACTATTTTGTTTTCCGGATCGACAACTCGACCAAGCTCATCCCTCAGTACAATTCGTCCATGAAACGGACACTACAAAAATAATAAAATATAATAACTAAAACTTATAAGTTTTAATAATTGTATTTAATTTACCTTAAAACGGTCTTCTCTTGGGCATAATCTACCGCTTGGCAATGGGGCTCTACACTGTCTTTCTACTCTTTCGAATTTTCCAGTAAATTCAATAACTCGTGTGCGTAAATTTTCAGATCCTCCTGGTTGTACAATACCGTCACAGTCAGTCTCCATTACAGAATTTGAAGTCCAAAACGTATGACCATCTTGATTTGTACTGAAAAATGTGTGAAATATCTATTTTTATAAACAATCATAATTGAAACTTGAGGATTTATAGAAATGATTTATGTAAAATGTTTTACTTAAGAAAATGGTAAAGGGTGAATTTGTTTCAAATATAATATATTTTATTAGTTAATCGTCAATTGTACGAATTGACAGGGGCAGCTCCATATCATTAGATAAAAATTTTTAGCATTAATTACGTCGATTTTAAGTTTACCATCATGCAAAATAATAGAACGATTTCATATAGGAGTAACAATGGTCGAACATTTTTACTATAGTTGCTATTTATGCAAATTTCATCATAATAATTTTTAAATGTTTGATGATGTAGTCCACTTACTTTTAAAGTGAATTATTCTCTCTATTCCACTCCTCTAATTGTGCATAGAAGGACGTGTTGTTTTGCAAAAGTATGTGATCATTAATAAAATGTTAATTGATGTGTACAAATCATCTATCTAAACTATAACTATTCGATACCTACTGGTTTGTTTCGTTAACTGTTTTTATATTATTTAATCTTCTTCTTTTTACACATAAAAGTTATTGTGTTTTTTTAGAACTCGCTAATCCAAAGCAGGACGACAAAAAAAATGGCACCAAATTGTACAATAATATTCTTTGAGACTCTGAGAGTGTTTAAAGCTTTGTTGTTCAACCTATATATACTATATTATAGGTTGGCTATATGGGGTGGCCCACACAGTAATTTCGTTTTGAATCAGGAAAATCGAATAATTTTTTTTGTTTATACCTATATAGGGTTGCTATTAGTTACAGAAATAGTCTATTGACTTATATAGTATAATCTATATACATAAAAATAAATATTTTTTTGTAGAATTGTAGCTTATTTACTCGAAAACTACTCGACCCATTTTGATGAAAATTTCAGATTGTTCTTGGATTTCAGTAAAGTTTAAAGAGTATAGTTACAACCATATTTGTAAGCATGCCAACAGCTACTTCAAATCCACTACAGGCAGATGTCCATTATGGTCGAATTAGATCACAAAGTCGGTTTTCTCGGAACTCAGTCACACTAAAACCAAGACACGATAAAATAGAGCCATATTTTATATATTTTGTTCATGTTTTCCCGGATGAAGTCAGGTTATACAGCTAGTATATAAACATAGTATAGGGTGCGACCTGGGAGCAGTGGCGTATCCAGGGGAGGGGTTTGGGGGTTGTAACCCCCCCCCCCGAAAATTGTTAAATAATAACAACGTTATCATTAATAAATCATTTTAAGATAAAATTCCACAAAAATAAATTATAACCCCTCCCGAAAAAAAATTCTGGATACGCTACTGCCTGGGAGTGTACTTAAATATTGATATTCAATTAATTATTGTATTGCAAATCGTAATTTATACCACAATTAGGAAAAAAGAATGTAACCCGGACGCTAGATTGGTTAGAAGTCATCAATACACGAAAAAAATGTGTACAATAAATGTGCACTGGTATTGAGGAGCATTTTATGTAGTGTAAAATATAATCATACAAACGGTTCGAAGAAAAACTATGGACGATAAAAATACACAGAGTTGAGAATCGATGGCCTTGCTACGAAAACGACACAAGTGCGCACGTGTGTGTTTTTAACGATGCAAAAATCCAAAACACACCCATACATTTTAAACACATTTAACCATAAGCATATTATATATTAAACACTGTATTATAACTATACAAATCCATTCAATATTTATTACATAGTTTATTGATTTATAAATAACTCGTATGCACATCAGTGAATGACGTTAACGCGATATTTCATACTATTAAGTATAGATTTTTACCAACACTACACACGGTATGAGATGTTGAAATTGGCTAGTTCTGACTCCTGGCAAGTGGATTGTAAAGTGTATTAGATTAAACAATTGGTTGGATTGTTTTTTTTAACTGTACGGATTTCAAACTGGCGCTCGTACTGCCCCGTCGAGTACGCATTTTTTTATTTATGAAAAAACGAAATTCGACAGTAATTCAGTAGCTAGGTCAGGATCTACTATTATAGTGTTGCACGTCAATTTATCGTTTAAAAAACCTAGACCCCGTATGAAAGAATAAATAGTATAAAAAGTATTTAGATGTACTTTTTTTGCACTTTATCGATTTATACCTTATTCTAAATGCACGCGTTCGTTTCGCGTAACTCGGGCACGTATTAAGGTTAAATAGGTTATAGGCTTGTTATTTATTAAAAGACAATTTCTAACACCATCGTCGATGCCACTCAGGAGCTTTGGGTTAATCGACAATTCGTAAATGATTAATGAAACTATGCTTATATATTATAGTCCCCTCTCTCCTATCATCATATCTGACCACGGGACACGGGCATTGCATTGCTATTAACTTTAACAAAATATAATATAGGTACACATTTATAGCACTGTTAAGTTACCGATTTTCAAAAGACCAAGTGACGGCAACTCGGTAGTTCGTATTTTTAATCTAAAGTTATTTTTAACTCATACATCCCCTGATTGTTGTTGAACAAACTTACAAACTGCAGGTCCAATCCTACATTAAGATTTGCTGATTTATGAAGGAATTTTTCATTTAATTTCATACAATTTCAAAATATATCATGAAAACTACATATATGTTTGATGACTTACCTATTATTGAATGATTAAAACATTAAATAAAAAAAAAACAGAAGTTCAGAACTATGGCTGTAGTACCTATGATGTCCTGTAACTCATATATCTATATTATGTCAAAAATAATTAAATTTGGTTGATTCTGAAAGGCGAAACAGTTACTTCCAAGAAGCATGTTTCAGGAAAAAATTACAATATATAACCTAATATAAAATAATATTATGTGATCGAGGAAGAAAACATAGGTATTGGATATTCACTCGATTTCTCATGTAGCGATTTCTTTATTTTGTTGTAATTCAAAAACTAATAACTGTAGATACATGAAAATTTTACTGAATGTTTACATTAGTATTTCCTATACACCATACAATTTTGAAAATATTTTGACTCTTTTTGAGCTGTTTACGGGCATTTTCAGTTTTCAATTTTTTAGTTTTTTCTTCTATAAATATCAATAAAGTTTTATCTGTTGGGCCAAAAAGTGTAAAAATTTAATACAAGGCTCCTGATATATTATTACAATATCAGTTGAAAAATATTAAAAATACATAGGCACAATTTTTTTTTATAAGCATTTAAAGATCGAATTTTGACAAAATTTATCAAATTTAAAATTAAATAATTATTTTGTGGTTAAATTCTATAAAATGTTCAACTTTTATATCTAAGGATTGAAAATTTAAAACAAGATTCCACGTAACTACGTAAGTAGTTAATACTGTTACCAAAAAATCTAAAAAAATACAGAAGGACAGTTTATTTTAATAAGCATTTTAAGTTCAAATTTGGACGAAATTACATAATAAAAAACCTAGAATAACTATTTTAGTTTATTTTGTTGTGATTGTATAATATTATTCGTGGGTACTCGGAACTTCTAAAGTACACTATTATATATCTATGATAGTATCAGCCCTTGACAGTTTTTCCTTACATCCTACAAACGATGTATACCGATTTTATTTGCACCATACAACAAACACAATCTTTTTTTCATTCCGAAGACTGTATACACAGTACATTCATACTGTACCTATTTTTTTTCAGTATAATACTAGTTTTGACCACCGAGACGGACCAAATGTTTTTTTTTAATTAAGTCTAAATGAATAAGAAAAAAAATGTCATGATGATATTATTTACGGTAAAATACGAGGAGCTGTTAGTTGTTCGTCTTCCCAGTGATATAGATCGATGTCGAACGGCAACTTCGGAACGGCTACGACACTGTTGCGATTGTCATCTCTCTCCAAAACTTTTGAGGAGTCGGCGCGGCCATCGTTTTGAGTCTAAAAATAACGTACATATATGTTTATATATATTTTTTTATATCTTATCAAAGAATCTACCAAAGAGACTATACTAGTTCAAGTACATTGTTATCGGGTTTAGCTAAACATTGAGCCAACAGATCGTCGGCGGACGATTGTGGGAGGACTTCTTCCATGTCGGAGTCGCTAGAACAATCATCGTCGTCTTCGTAGTACGTGATTTTGTTTTCTCGGCTCGTCAGGTCGGTTAAACTCCGCTTGAGTTCGATCGTTCGTTTCAAGAGTTCTCCGTCTATTTATTTATAGGAGAGAATCACAATATTATATAAAAACTAGACCAAAAATATACAACAGACAATATATGTTCTTAATAATTGGTAGCGCGTGATGTCTTTGCGTATGAGTTTAACACTGATTTTTTACAACATATTTTTGCACTCACAATGATTATTTTTATACTTAACATTATCCGACGTAAATTGTTTATTATTGTAATTTGTTATTTTTTTTAATTCTTTTGTATACATTTTTAAATTATTATTCGTGTATTTCTTCTCGCTATATTTGATTATTTTATTGTATTTTTAGTTACATTACTTACCCTGGGGCGCACACAAATCTTCTCAATGATGCCCAGTATGATTAAGAGAAATATAATTTTAAAAATAAATAAATAGATTACTCTATCAGCTGACAACGAGTACCTACGTGCGCTCGCTGTTGTTGGTTTTTATAATTAAGTAGGTACTATTATGCACGTGCTCATAAATTCAAATAATTAATGTATTAACGACCCAGCCCCCTCCCTCACACCACGTATAGTCACGCTAATATAAATAAAATATATATTACTCGATATTTTTGCTATGTCTTGCAACCATTTTTTGATTTTTGGCAAATACTTGTCGGATATCAGCTTTACTTGTTCGTTTGCGCTTTCAATTATAGCCAAGTTATCTTCCGATTTCTTCACCCTTTTTCGGAAATCTAAAAAAACCGAAACACGAAGGAAATTAAATACACGCTTCCAGTATAATATATATATCAGCTGAAAATTTTCAATTCAACAAATTTAATAATCACCCGGTCTCAGTGTGACTGTCACGGTGTGCGCGACAGGGTCGATTATGCCGGTTTCTCTGTATCTTTCGTTTTCGTCGGCCGACTCGATCTCTGTGACAATTTTTCGTCCGGAATCCGTCGACGACAGTTCCGATGAATTCAACGGAGGGGCACTTTCTTCCTCTGCTTCAGGTATAAAAAACTCTTCCGGAGTGGGAATTAGCAATTCCAGACAACTCTCCAGGGTTCTAGCCGCGATCGTTATTTCCGGTTCGAGTTCTGAGCAAAAATGAATTTATTCAAAGATTTCAAACGCATACATACTCGTATATTTATGTATGTATATACAATATCCTTAATGGCTAAGGGGTATATTTAAGGTTAATTTTCAGTCAAAGAAAAAAATAAATATAGTGTGTATACCATTTATTTCAGTTTCAATTTTTTTCAATTTCTCATCATTTAAACGCCGTTGTCGCTGTTCCCTGTCCTCCAGTAGTCTCGCATTGGTAATGGACCGCACGGTCATCGATTCGAAATCAATCTGAAATGTTAAGCCCCACACAATGCACATTATATAGTTAAAGAACATAATTGACTACCTAATGTATCCTTGTGTAGAGGAGGGTTCGACGAATGTATAGGGTGTAATGGTGTATACAATATACATTACACATGTATAACAAATATAATAGGTAATTAGATATTATATTAACCTACTTTTTTATATTTGTTCAAATACTTAAACACAAAATTAAATTCGTCTTTAAAGTCCTTCCCAAACTCGTCATTCCATTCCTTGATGCATCTAATAGAGTAAAGTTCCAAATCTGTAGCGAATTTTTTAGGCGGGGGCAACGTTCGTCCCGCGTCTGTGTTAACTGTGAGTTTTAGAAGAATCGAGATATCGACGATTATTAATTTTCTAAAATGTTCGAATTTCCTAAAACAAATTGCAAGGTTATATAATTTTACTATCGTCCATCTAATAATCTATATTGACTCTATAGTACAAATAAACAATACAATATATTATACAAAAAAGATAAAAATTGATTTGATAGGTTAGGTTAGGTGTACTACTATGTTAAAAAATCATAAAATAGGTAGGTACATACTTAAAAAGACGATCACAAATTCGGAGCGCACTCAAACGAATCTGAGAATGTTTTTCTTTGAGTTGATGAAATAGTAATGCATGAACTCTGTCGATGTAGATTGAGGATTTTCTAAAAAATTCCCATATGTAAATAAAGAATTAAATAAACAAATTCCTATATTTGTATAATAAATTAAAATACAAACAACATATTATTTAATATTTACTTTTCGCAGTATAAAATCATTATTCAAATTAAAACTTTATTATGGTACTTAAATAGTTTAATCTGATGAATTCGTCTATTTGGTACTTATACTACACCCCCACCATTTTTTTTTTGTTTTTAGTTTACACAATTTATGTAAACATTAAACAGTATAAACGAAGTATACAAACTATACATTGCATTATTACTGAATTATATTATATTATATTTTGTATTATAAAACATACATGAAAAAATGTAATTGGAATATTATTTCCGTAAATAAATTATTATATTGTATCGCATAGTATTATATTATATAGTAATAAATAAAAAAGAACATTAGGTATAGGTACAGTAATAAGAAATTATGTAAAAACAAACCAGTACATTATATTATTTAGAAATAATACAATTATAAAATGTATGTCGGACACCAATATTCTGCAGTTTCGCTCGAAATAGCATCAAATGGATCAGTTTGCCACCAAAACGACTTCTCCGCATATCAATTCAGGTCTCGGGCAACTAAGAATTCATAAAATTAAGGTCCATCTATATAATACGTCTCCATTTGATGATCTCCACGGCCACATCCATTATATACTTATACTTAAAGGATATGCACCATAGTCCTGTCTACAAAATTATTAGCTTGATTTACCGTGTAATGACTTAAACTGAAACATAAAATTGTTGTAATCCCTCCAACAATCGATTAATCGAATATACCTATAAGTAGGTAGGTATATAACTATCGTCCCTACAATTATGCACATAATTGGCTTATACTTTATACGATCAAGCTTAACGTGATTATACTTTATATAAATAGTATTATTCTTAAACCCAATATGTTCACCATTAAACATAAAAAAAATGGCGGGGTTATAATTATTTTACGGGCGTATATAATAGAAAACTATACCTACCATTTATTTGCATGGACTAGCATGGTTATACTTCAACTTTTATTTTTAATATTTAGAAAATTTAAAAAAATTCTAATTCATATATTATATATTATTATACACTATACATTAAATACCATAAAAGTTATAACTTATAGCGTAACAATCGTTAGATTTATTTATGTATACATAATATAATACATATACATATAGGTACTATAATTAAATATATATTTTTTTTTTTATAAACCAATATTATGTTTAGATATCTACCTACTATAGTACTATAAATAAACGATGATAAGTTCAAGGTTTACATAATAATTATTATTAATAAAAAATAAAAAACTTATAACGATATACTAAAAATAGCAATAAAAACGAATTCGTACTAATTCAATAGGGTAAAAGCTCAAAAACAGAGGTCGGTGAAGTTGGCAGCACAATGTCAAAATGTTGGCTACAAATTTTGTCAATAATTTGTAAGTCAATTGTAAGTTTATGTAAGCACAATTTGGTAATTTGTAAGTACAGCCGTTATCAATTATCCTCAAAAGTGTACATCACGGCTAACTTCCGCGAAACTTGGCCGTTTTGGCATTTCAAAGTTTTTGGCTGTTCCAAATCGTCATACGCAATTTGTAAGAATTTGAAAGCACGAATTTAGAATTTATAAGTCATCCCTCCCTTAATTATCCCTAAAAGGAAGTTGGCCGTGCTTTGTTGAGCTTTTTGAACTTTGACTGTTCCAAATCGTCATGCGCAATTTGTAAGTATTTGCAAGCACGAATTTAAAACTTCAAGGACCTTAAAAACAGGCTTGAGCGACACTATTATAAGGACCTATCTCATCGAATTACAATGGCCTGCCTATTATACCAGATTATACACTTGAGTAATTTTAAATCTATACAGTAGATACATTATAATACAAATACGTCATATTTTTTTGTACCAATGATGTCGTATAGTTATACATACCTATATTATATACCTATAATTAGCAATTAGTAATTAACAGCTATAATAATAGCTGCTATACAGTTTATAGTCCTCAATCGACCATGAATTTATGACTCAAGTAAAATACACGTACCTACTTATAAGTAATTTATAATAAAACTGGTTACATAGGTATTTTATATATAAGTAAGCGTGACATGTTCAATTATGTAATAAGGAAATGAGCGACGGACACGCTGCAGATATAGGTAATAATATATCCTATCGATTGTATAAAGAGTAAAAAAATAAAATGATAATAAAAAAACATTTACCACTCGTCACCGTTGCAGTTTGACAACTGGTAGGTACATGGCCTATTGAACTACCCAGTCAAAATTCGATTTAGATACATCAATATTGTCAAATAAGTCATCCGGTTGACGATTACATATGGTTCTTATTTGAATAGAAAAAGTTATTGCCTTAGAAAGATACTCTTTAAATAGTATAAACAAATGTAAGTAAGAGTGAATATGATAAATATCGGTAATTATTATTTATTAATCATTGATTTTAGTTTTTAACTCAAAGTAATATTGTAATTTATTCTAATTGTATTAATTTATTTGTTTATGTTTTGCTTTTTTAAATTAATAACTTTTATGCTTAAAATGGGTTTCTCCTGTGTCTTCATAGTTTTATTCTTTGGTTTAAATTACCTAAAAGATATAAATCAATCTTTGGATGAAAAAAAACATTTCTCTATCGTCAATTGTCAATTTTAAATTCTAAAATACGTATTACAAATGTTATGTTAGTTACATGATGATTTAGATTTTAAAGTAATTTTAGACTTAAAAATAATTAGGTTGAAGTAAGTAGAATATTGGTAATTTTAGCCAATGTTAATTAATTATATTGTTAATATAATTTTAACAATTTTGCTATATTACTATTAAGTGTTGAAAAAAATCTAATTTTAAACGATTAGTTTAAGTACCTATTAAAGTTTATTTAGATAACGGAAGTTGTGTGGTACCTATACTATTACACTAGCTCTGCAAAATACAAGTATCATCGTGCAATATCGTATTACAACTCCACTCATCTAAGACTAAAAATAATTTATATACCTACCTACTTCAATTCTCAGAAAAATAATCTGTTTCGAAATATGAAATTAAAAATACATGTAACCTGTCGTTCAAAACAGTAAGAAATTTAAAAAATGATGATACGATAAAAATGGTAAATATATCAGTTTTTTTCTTATGCTTTTTTGTCATGAAATTATGTAAAAAAATATCTTTGAAAACGTGAAATTTATCTTCCGCGCTTTCTATTACCGAACAATAATGACCAATGCCGCACAAAATGCATAACCCAATATTTCACACAAAAATAGTATGATACATTGATACCGCACAGATTTATAAAAATATACAGCCTTATATTCTGCACACAAAAATAGTACCTCTACATTTATTAAAACCAAAAAAAATTTAAACACAAATATATTATCTCAAATTAAATTATCCAAATTCCTTAAAATAAAAATAGGAACACAATCCAAATAAAAAAAGTGTGTTACATCAAAATAATTAAAAATTGAATCTATATAGACATATAGTAGTCGTATATAAAAGGGTGACCATACATGTCCTGTTTTTGTACCTCTGTCCCGTTGGCCCCTGGGGAATCTTCAGAAGGTAGACCAAAAACTAACGAAAATAAAAAATACATTTTGGTAGATGGCTGGAACTGATCAACTATAAGTACCAGAAATTACTGGGCTACAGTAAAAGCGGATGGCTTACACATACGCCTGCTATCAAAAGAGTTTTGTAGTTGTATAATATGTACCACTGAAAGATTATTTCTTAGGCATATAAAGGTGTCAAACAGTTTCAAAGAATTTCTCCGTGTCTAAATTCTGAGTTATGGTATTTTTTTTGACATGTGAAAAATATAAGACTAAATTTGTGTGCAGTAATTGGATAGGTATCCAGTATTTTAAAATCTGTGAACGTGGTTATTTGTCCTATAATTTTGCACATTAGTGCGGTAGTGGTAGTAGTAGTAGTACCTATTTACATAGGTATTAAGCTCAATAAATATATTTATTATTAATATTTATTTATATGTCTATGGTATTAAGAGAACGCTACACTCACATTCGTTGTCTCCGTCTTACAAATGCATAACATAGCAAATTGTAGGCTCCGCAGATCACGTTTATCTCCCTTAGTTTAACAGGTAGAGTAAATTGACCTCTTATTAAATTTAAAGGTAAGATTATTATCGAGAGCATCTCATATCCTTTTTATTATATTTTAATTTTAGAGCGAATTATTATTATTTTAAAATTGTAAATTGTTTGTACATCTTAAAATACACGATATTCGTTTTAAAATTAAAATATAATAAAATGCCTGTGAGATGCCCTCAACAATAATCTTACCTTTATATTTAATAAGAGGTCAATTCACTCTAACTTTTAAACTAATCGAGATAAACGTGACCTGCAGAGTGTAAAATTTTATATGTTAAGCACTTAAGCGTTTGTAAGACGGAGACAACACATATCCTCTTAAGCTTTATATCTACTTTATCATATATTATTAATTTCATCGGAGATGTACGATAGACGCCACCGTAGGTACCAAATATTTTTTTGTTTGCTGTACGCTACAAATCCTGTATACTTTCCGTCGATTATTGTTATTATCACTATATGTATTATATACTTACTTCCTTACTTACGATAGGATGCTAATGGGCCATTTTTCCGCAGCTATACAAATTACATAATTGGATTGTAGCATGCCAGATAAATGTGCTGTATATAGTATCCAGGAACCAATAAAGTTGACAGTCTACAATCTACACCTATACGGCTATACCTTATTATCTATCTTATGTTTTTACTTATTATCGGTTTCAATATTTGTTCGTGTCACACGAAGGTGCATTTCCCTACCCTGTCGGGAGGGGAATTTCGTTTCATGTAAGTACATATTATTATTATACTCCCCAGACGAGAGTTAAATAAAATATTTTATAGTCTGTCGTCGGAATTCGATTTATTTCAAACGCCCCGCCCCGACAAACCCGTCTGTTCGAATTATTTTAGTATCTAATAGAGTCAACGAAAACTATCGTTTTTTGGCCCTGAATCACGAT